GAAATAATCCATATGTCTAATCAATAAAATTTTTGTTTAGTTTGATTATGACTGTAGTCAGATTAAAGTATTTAAAAATCCCTTTTTACATGGTAGACTCTTAATCAGAGTATTGTCTTAATCATATTAAAATTGGAGTACTGGTATCCATGTAAACGTACTGTACTCACTCATACCAATTCTTACTCGATACATCCAATAAGTCAGTTTACCCATTCACCCAAAAATGATAATCATTTATTCTCAATAAATATCTAGATATTTGCATATATAGATATTTGCATATCATTCAATAAAATGATTACAAATTTATAGACATTTTGATTAAATATATATTTCCACACATGTAAAAAAGTAAATCAAGGGAGTAAATACTGGACTCTACAAAATCTGTGAAAATCTGCTGATTTCTGTGGGCACAGATGCTGCGTGGGCCTAAATATATCACATCTTATCACAAAACCCATGACACAATGAAAACTCAGCACTGATTTTGGCATTTTTTTATCCTCCACTTGTTGTTTTTGTTCAGTGAGCACATTTCTGTTGACAGTGCAACCAAGAAAATGGCCTGAGGGGAAAGTTAGTTCTTAGAGGACTGGTTTAGTATAGTTCCTACAGTATAACTGAGTTCTTATTAATTCATTAATTTTCCCTTGTTTTAGTCCCTTGATTCATCAGGAGTCATCACAGCGGAATGAACCGCCAACTTATCCAGCATATGTTTTATACAGCGGATGCCCTTCCAGCTACAACCCTGTCCTGGGTAACACCCATAAACTCTCAGTCACATACATACACTATGGCCAATTTAGTTTTTTCAATTCACCTACAGTGCATGTCTTTGACCTGTGGGGGAAACCAGAGCACCCGGAGGGAACCCACACCAACACGGGAAGAACATGCAAATTCCACACAGAAGTGCCAACTGACCCAGCTGGGACTCAAACCAGCGACCTTCTTGTTCTGAGATGACAGTGCTAACCACTGTGCCACCGTGTCACCATTCTTATAACTAAATAGTGCGAAATCCCCTTAATGCAGTAATTATAGAGAATTAAATGTGTGTAAATGAGTCTCTCAACAGTGTTCATAAACAGAGGATGCGTCCCAATTAGCGTACTTAATTAAAATGTACCGGCTGAGTGTGTATCAGTAGAGAATGCAAGCTTTGGGACCTGCTACTTAATCATTAATGGACTGATCTGTCTGTTACTTAGTGATGTGTCCTGTTAATAATCTCTTCATCCTCATTTCCTTCACATTTAAACTTCCCGCCATACTGAAGATGCAGCAGCATGTTAATCTGCAATTTTCAAAGTTTCAAGCAAAGAAATCTCCCCAATAATTTAGCATTTCACAATTTATGAACTAACGCATCTTTATAAAGCATCACACTGCTAAATTTTAAATATAATACAGACAACATTAAATAAATATTTTCCATTAGTTAAACATTAGTTATCAATAACTCAAAGGTCTTTACCAAAGAATCTTCACTTAGCCATCAGTCTCTCGAGCCTAGAAATGAGTTATTAAAACTATCATGCTTAGAAATGTGTTGAAAACATCTTCCCTTTATTAAACAGAAATTGGGGAAAAGATGAACCAGGGGTGCTAATAATTCTGACATAATGTATTATATATTATCTATTATATATAATAGAATTATATAAAATTTTGTTGGAAATAATTATATATTTTTTGCAATATTTAAAAAAAAATGTATATATGACATATAATTCATATGTAACTTGTTAGTCATATATGTAAATTGCATACATTTCCATATATCAGATTTCTATATGGACACCCTCCACTTTTTCTAACCCTGTTTAAGTTACTTTCTTCACATAATAAGATATTTTTAAGAATATTGGAAAAAGGCAGCCAATGGTTCCATAGTATTTCCCTCATACATTACCAATATATACATATATATATATATATATATATATATATATATATATATATATATATATATATATATATATATATATATATATATATATATATATATATATATATATATATATATATATATATATATATATATATATATATATATATATATATATATATATATATATATATATATATATATATATATATATATATATATATATATATATATATATATATATATATATATATATATATATATATATATATATATATATGTATATATATATATATATATATAAATATATATATATATATATTTATATATATGCAATCTCCAGAATATATTACCTGTGTAGCCTAAAAGTTACAGCAGAAACAAAACCTAACCTAATTCTTGAACCCAAAATCCTGGGTAAAAGCACAAGCTGGCTTTGTGCAACAGGCCTCTGTCCACCAGTTGGCTATGCAAATAAACACCGTAAGATATTGACACCTTAATCATTGTAGACCCATTCTTGAAACTCTGCCTGGCCGGCTGTCGATTACACTTGATTAAAGGGCGGAGTGAACATTAAGAATCAATACAGCGGACAGC